CGATGTCTCAAACCTTCCCTTTGCCTTATGAAAATACAGTCATTAAGAAGAAATACAACTCAGACACACATAACACCTACTTCTAATGTGAGCTTAATATGCTGTTTAGTGAAACGTACATGAGATATCAGAAGGCGAGGATTTGATGACCACATTTTATTTTATTTATTTTTTTTAAGATTTTATTTATTTATTTGACAGAGATCACAAATAGGCAGAGAGGCAGGCAGAGAGAGATAGGAGGAAGCAGGCTCCCTGCGAAGCAGAGAGCCCGATGCGGGGCTCAATCCCAGGACCCTGGGATCATGACCTGAGCCGAAGGCAGAGGCTCAACCCACTGAGCCACCCAGGCGACCCTGATGACCACATTTTATAAAATCTTCCGAGATGATGCAGGATTTTGGAGTATCACCTAATAAATGAGACAAAGGAACACAGTGCTGGAGATGATGTTTTGTCCGTCTTTACAATTTCTGGAACTTGACTTAATTTTTTATATTAGCTGACTCTTAATGTTTGTTGATGGTACTACAGATTATATTTCTCTGGGAATGTAGATATTGCTTTAAATAATTATACAAAGTATTCATCCTGTATTTGGATCATTTTATAACAGTCTATAAGGAAACAATATTTGTGGTGCCTGAACCCTATTAGAAAATTAAAATTTTGCTAAAGATAAGGAATAAATATCATTTTACCAGATTTTATTGCCATATGCATGTATAGCCATACAAAGATCCAATCAGAGGTTTGCATTTGCATCTGGATTTCTAAAATCATTTGAAACTCCCTATTAGCAAGTGCATATTCATATTCATTATAAATCTTCTTGATATAGCATGCTAATTACTTGCCTGCACTCTGGCTCCCAAACCACAATGAATCCTATTATAAAAGCAGATCAGTGCAAACTTCAAACAGCATGCATCCTGGAGATGCCACTATTAAAGGAAGAATGCTGATGGAAAATCTTTGATCTTATCAGACGTGATGGAAAATACCCATTTGTATTTGAGTAAATCTGTAGAACGAAGCATTTCCCCCACCCTTAAGTAACCTGAATCCAATTTCAAGTTCCCAAATGCTCTTCAAAGCAGCCCGCCTTGGAAGTAATGCTGATGGCATTACAAATTTCAAGGCAGCTTCCTTTTTCCATCTGGGGACTTCAAGCAGATTTAAAATTTTACTTTCAAAGAGAAAGCATATTACCTCCTCTTACCCAAACCACTAGCCTTTGGTTTGTTGAGCAGAGTGTCATAGGTAATGAAGTTACCTACAGTAACGAAAAGATGGCTTATAACATAGTATCTCAGAGCTTGACTAATGCAGCTGATTGTAGGGCATTCTAAACTCTAAGTATTGAGACACTTACTCCTTCAGTTCTTTCTTGGTCTAGTGCTGTTGATCAAAAAGTTGGAATGTAAACTTTGGGTGTGTGGCAGGACAACCCTACCCGACTCATCAATCCATCTCCTCCTGAATGGGGCACCTATGAAGCTGAAGAAAAAAATCGGTGTGTGCTTGACTCCTGCACCCACAGCGAGCCCGAGCCACACAATTCAGAACATTCATACTGTGAATAACCCTGTAGCAGGAGGGTCGGCCTGTGGCTTCTTAAAAAGCCTCAGATTTGTGGTCAGTAGAAACATCCATGAGCCTCTTTGGGCTGAAGGATACAGTGGCCCCAGTGAAGTTGCCCTAACATTTAATTAGGTTTCCTGTAATTGCTTTAAGTAAACAGGCAGGGAGGTGGGGAGAGGGGATGAGGAATGAAACCTGAGGTTATCATCTTGGGATGCAAAACATTTGTGTGTGGTTTTAATATCCTGAGCCCATTTGTTGCTGCCCTGCATTTTGGAAGAAACCATTACAGTTCTGAGGAAATACACACTGCAGGTTTATCAGCCCTTTGGTGACTGTAAATTTCCTGCAACAACTTTTAAAAGAAGAGTTTTGTTTCCAGTAACTGAATTTCTGCATGAAGAGAGGGGGTATAAACAAGCAAAACTGGCAAAAGTATGAAATTCCAGACAGTGGAATAAAAAGAAAAGTGAGAGGCGAGTGGGAAAGCTGGGCTCCATCTTTCCGTGATCATCTAGAGATCAGAAAATGAGAATTATTACAGTAGGACAGGAAAATGAGAAGACCTATGCAGGAATTAGGAAAGTGGAAAAGAGGTAGTGTTTTTTGTTAATAAGTCAGGATTTCTGCTGTGGAGATTGTCTTATTATTAGGACATTGACTAAAATAATACAGTAACATTTTCTTGGAAGGGTGAGGGATTTAGATATGCCAGTTCCTTGAAAATTATTTCTATTTTTATTTTTTTTTAAATTTTATTTACTTATTTGAGAGAAAGAGAGAGATAGCATGAGTGGGTGGAGGGGCAGAGAGAGAGGGAGAAGCAGACTCCCCGCTGAGCAGGGAGCCCGATGCAGAGCTTGATCCCAGGACCCCAGAATTATGACCTGAGCCAAAGGCTGACGCTTAACCAACTGAGCCACCCAGTCAACCCTTGAAATTTCTTTTTAAATGGTCACTGTGTAAGCATAAAAGCCTTGTTAATTTTCAAATCACTTTAAATATGTTTAATAAACTTTTGGCCATAGAGTTGTCATATCAGGACCTTGCCCTGCTTTGGGCTTACAAAATCCACTTTCCTGGGCTTCATTTCAGTTCAGGGACCCTTGAGTAGATCTGAGGGCAGAGTTGTTTCTATGACTCAAGTCCTCTCAGTTCTCGATAGAAAATATTGCTTATATTCCCAGGGGGACAGCATCTACTTCTGTTGGGCATTAATTAATTTTCCTGAAGGCTTTTACCCATTTAAGCATGTTCTAGGTTTAAGGGTAAGTTCTGGAATACTCTTTTTTTGGTGTCTTTAGGTGACACCTTCATGTCACCTATACCAAGAAGTCATAGTCAATCAGTTCAAGAAATCATACCTTCTAGGAACTAAGCTCTATATCTTATACATATCATACATACATGCATACATACATATCATATAGATAGATATTAATTCTCATCTGATGTCATCTACTTGCTTAAAATACTTTAATGATATCCATGACTTTCAGAAAGAAGTTCTAAATCCTAAACATGGTGTGCAACAGATTCTCAAACTGTAGGACACATCTAAATTCTTTGAGTGCATGCTAAACCACAAATCTCTGGGCCCAACTCTCAAGGTTTCTTATTCAATTTGAGCCAGGAGTGGGAGCCAAGAGTTTGCACTTCCAACAAGTTCCCATGTGATGCTGATGAAACTGTTCTGGGGCCACACTTTGAGAACCACTGGTCTACATCACTGTGTTTTGACTGATCTTTTTCTTGTCTCTCTTCATCTCATGCCATTCTTGGTGCTCAACTGTCTTCTGGGTTCCCAATCTCCTCATTCTCTTTCTGGCTTCTTCTCATATGTTCTGTCCCTCCCCCTTAAATAATTTAACCAACTTAACTCATGTTGAATCCTTCATGCTAATTTGGGTTCACTTGTTATTCACTCTCATTTTTCTGTGTACTTCTCCTTTGTAGCATTGAACACAATTGTAATTAAGTAATAAATTGAATAATCTGTAGTTAATATGCACCCCCTTCACAATGATAGAAGTTCTTTGGGGGTAATGGCTATCCTACTCATCAGAGATTCACAAGTCCCTGGGGCAATACCTTTTCCATAACTGATATGAAATAAATATTTGTTCAATGAATGAATGAATGAATACATGAATAAAAAGTACAAAACAATATATTTCATCTTTCATACTGTGCTTATACTTAACCCTAAGGGTCTCCCTGCTAGTTGTCTCAATAGGCACTTCATTCTGAAAGAATGTGCAGGAAAATTGGCAGTTACCCACATACATTGTTCAGATGATCCTTCTTGCTCAATGCAAAGAGGCACATTGTAGAATGACTCTCTGAAAAAGACTTTGATTTATCAAGATAAATACTCTTCAAATGATAATCCCAGATTCTTAGTTCAATTTTTGTTACTCAAGATTACATAATGCTATAAAATAAAATCCATTGTTTGAGCATTTTAGCTAGAAGCCACTTTTAACAGGACTTTGGTTACATCACAATTATAGAGAAACATTTGGACTTTCGAAATATTATGCATGAAAACTTTAAAGTCATACATTCTTTGAATAGAATAGCAGGGATTTGTTAAGACTGGCATTTTTTTTAAAGAAAACATTTTATTTTAATAACTAAAACAACTATAAAAATAACTTAGTTTTAGATAAGCACCATATATTTATATAGTACTGGGTCATATTATAATAAAACCTGACATATTATATATAGATATGTTTGATTTTTGTACTTGTGATTACAGTTTTAGGTCATTCTCATTCCTTGTTAAGGAATTGTTAAGAAAGTTACAGTTACTGTAAAACTATGTAAAGTGTTGTAAAACTGTATATAGCTGTGTGGTACCAGATGAAACTATAATAAAATGTGATATATGCTTATATACATTAACCAATATATATTAATAATTTACATACTTACGATTATAGTTTTAGCTTATTCTCTGTCATTTCATGTGAGGAGTTAGGAATATTTAATCATTGTAAGGTTATGTATAGCACATGGATATCTTACCCATGACCTATATAATGGGGGCACAATCCTTAGAAGATGTGAAACCTGTGTTCATGTTTGACTATACCAAGGAAGCTAACTCAGCAGAGGGTGAATATTTGTCCAACTCTTTGGAAAAAAGTGTAATTTTGTGCTGTGATAGATCTACTCCACTTTCATCTTCTGATGAAAGCAGAAGATTTGAAATAGCAAATAAGAAAATGAAAAAGTTGGGCATCAAATAATGGGAGCCAAAGGAAGATCACAGGTGGAGAGAGACAATATCTGGGCTGTTGATCGATGGCATCAAGATGGATCACTAGGGGGGAAATACCTGGTATGATGTTTTATAGTTTGCCAGTAATAAGGCTTTTCCTGACTTAAATCTCCTTTTCTCTTGGCAGGTCTCATTGTCCGGGAAGTGAGCATTGAGATTTCGCGCCAGCAAGTCGAAGAACTCTTTGGGCCTGAAGATTACTGGTGCCAGTGTGTGGCCTGGAGTTCAGCGGGCACCACAAAGAGCAGGAAGGCCTACGTGCGCATCGCATGTGAGTCATGGTGTACGGACGTGCTAGGCTTCAGAACCTGGGTGGAATGTGGGCAAATGTAGCCTGTCACTGGCTCTAGATTCAAAGAACCCTGGTCAGAACTCCCAGATTTCTGCATTTGAGCTACACGTTCCCCTTACGTCACCAGAATATATTTTTTGTTTTAAGACATGGACAGTTTCTCTTTAATAAGTATATGAAAGAACTAGTGATTTTTTTAAAGGTTCTGAGTTTTCATTTTTTTTTTAATCTGGTAAGAATTAGGCTATAGGAAAACCAACTCTATTTCTTTAATGAGTTTATTCTGCCAGTGTGTTAGGACAATGTTGATTAGTTTTACTACTAGAAATAGAAATTACCCATACAAAGCTTCTCTATTTATTTTTTGGAACCACTAGAATGCCTCAAAATATACCACTGTTATCCAAACTGTGTTAAATTCTGGAGTATTCATGCTTGTGAAGAGGTTAACACAGAACAGGGTTCCATAAGCGAATAAATGTGGGAGATATTTTTTTTGGATGAAGTTAAATAGGTTTATTCATTGCAAAATTCTCAGATTTTTTAATATGCTAATCATATTATGCCTAAGAAAGATGTTGCCTGCAACTCTTCTGCAGACTCCCTTTCCCAAAGAGTGCTATTCACATCTTGAGCAGCATGAATGCTGCTTTCATCTGTCTTAAGGTTCCATACTGAGATATTTTCTCAAGTCTGAGACTGCCTGAAATCCATGTGAACTACATTATTTGAACTCTTTTGTATGCATGCATTTTATCAAATTGTTAGTGATGGATGTCCGTATCACCCACCTCTCACATGTCACTGAGGCCCAATGAGTCCCAATAGTCTTGGCTCTGAGGCTTTTCCCAGTTCCGTACTCTACTCTTCCCTTGCCTTCTACTTGATCTAAATCACAGTGGCTGCAAACATATCCCAGTTAGTCTCCATGGCTCCCATTGTTTCACTTTTCTAGTCTGTCCTCCATATTACCACAAATGCAATCTTTCTGAAACTCAGATCTCTGCACAGAGTGCCTCCCTCCCTGCTAAAATGTTATAGTGGCTTGTGAGATAAAGTAAAGATCCCTTACGGTGCCATGTGCCATCATATGAATCTGCTAGGACTCTCATACAAAGTACCACAGACTGGATGGCTTAACCAGTAGAAATCTCTTTGCTCACAGTTTGGAAACTACAAGTGTGAGGTCAAGGTGCCAACAGTGTTGGCTCCTCCCAGAGCCTCTCTCCTAGGCCTGTAGATGGTTGATTTCTCCATGTCTTTGCACGTTCTTCCCTCTGTAACTGCAGGCCCAGATTTCTCTTCCTGTAAAGACACCAGTCTTGTTGGATTAAAGGCACCCTAAAGACCTTATTTTAACTTCATCACCTCTTTAAAGGCCTTGTCTCCAAATAAAGTCACATTCTGAGGTCCTGACATGAGGGCTTCGATGTGTGAACAATTTAGCCCATGACAACCATATTTCATAGATTACACATTCAACCTATGTTTCCAGCTCCAGCCAGAGAGAATGTTTCCATTTTCATCACACTAGATTAGCAACTCTTTGATGTCTGTGCTTTCCAGCTGTTGTTCACAATGAAGGGTTTCACCCTTCTCTTACTTCTGTTCGTTATTTGTAAACATTCATTTATTTAACAATATTTAGTAAGCATTTAGTCTGTTCTTGGGACAGTTTTAGGTATTGGGTATGGAGCTAAAATCAAAACAATTAATGACCTACCTTCTTGGAGTTTATGTTCAGGTGGGCAAGGGCAAACTCAAAATCAAATAGATGATAATCACAACCAGAGCAGATGGTAAACGCTATAAAGAGAAGTAAAGCAGGAAAAGAGGGTATGTTGTCCTGGGGGAGGGTGGTCAGGGAACTTCTTTGGAAGATGTTCACAGTTGAGGAAACATGAAGGCAGGGAAGGGGGACTCAGACAGAAGGAGCTGTACGTGCCACAGGTACCAATACTCAGAGGCAGGCGTACACTGGCCCTCCCAGCGCCAGGACACTGTAGGTCTAACGGATTTGGTTCTTAGCTTGAGAAGAGAACCTCGGAGTGTTTTCAGCAGAACAATTCATGATCTGACTTCCATGTTAACAGAATCACAACTTGTGTTGAGAATAGATCAAGGGTAGAAGCACAAAACCCAGTTATGAGGCTGTGTCTATGAGAGATGTTAGACTTGCATCGATTAGAAGCAGCGAAGGGGGTACAGCCTGGCTCCTGGATGCAGCAATTCTTCTTGTTTGTGAGGGAGAAGAGAGGAAGATGTTCCAAGGCTCCCAGTGGATGCCTGAAACCGCAGATAGTACCAACCTCAATATAGGCAATATTTTTTTCTGTCTATACCTATGATAAAGTTTAATTTCTAAATTAGGCCCAGTAAGAGATTAACAACAATAATGATAAAATAGAACAATTATAACAATATACTGTAAGAAATGTTAGTGCATGCGGTCTCTCTCTCAAAATATCTTACTGGTTTTTACACCTCCCCCCTGCCCCGCTTCTTCTCGCGATGCTATGAGATGATAAAATGCCTGCATGATGAAGTGAATGGCACAGGCATTGTGACATAGTGTTAGCCCACCCTTGACTTTTCTGGTGATAAGTCAGGAGGAGGCTCATCTACTTCTGGACCTTAGGTGACTGTGGCTAACTGAAACCCCCAAAAGCAAAATGGCTGGCAAGGGGTGGGGGGGGACTACTGTATATTTAAGAGGTAATAGCTTTTGTTGAGAGATTGGATGTGAGATGTGAGAGAGAGAGAAGAATGATTCAAGAGACTTGAACTTTTTGAAGAATTTGTTTCAAATGTGCTTAGTGAAGTCATTCCTGCCTCATGGGTCTCCAGAAAGATAGGCATCCCTTTCTTAATCCTTTCAAAGCAGTGTGTCCATTCTCTTAATATAGGGCTTGTTTCAGTTGAATTATATTCACTTGTTGTAATGTCTGTGTTTCATGCCAGCAAGTTCTGTGGAATCAATTTTGCTTAATTCAATTTTGCTTAACTTTATATCTTTCATGCTTTGCACAATGCCTAGAACATCATAGATGTTTAATAAATTTTATTGAATTAAAACTGTTATAAAAATTCTCAGTGAAGTTTATTAAAATGCTATATATATTAATCTTTCCTCTCAGAGCATATCTAAAGAGATTTTCTCTTTGTCTTATATGGGTTCTCCAGGAAATAGACTCTGAGATGAGGATGTACATGCAGGCAACATATTGAACAGTACTCTTAGGAATAATACCCATGCAGGCCATAGGATTTGGCAGGTATGAGAAATTGAGCTGCAGGACAGGTATGACAAAAGATGGCCCCATAGGGAGCTCTGGAGCTCGAATGGCCCTTCAGAGTTGCTCCACATAGACTAATCAATGGACGTGGGCCCTTGCTTGACTCCCAGCTCCCACCAGCTTATGTGAACTTTCCTCAACTGAGGGCAATTCCAGGAGAAAGACACAGAGCTCTCTCATAGGCAACACTCCCAAAAGCGGGGTCAGTCCCGAAAAGGGATCTCATTGGCATACCCCTACATTCACTATAGTCATTTGCCACAAATCTTGAAGACTTTATTAATTATGAGGCCAAAATATATTTTTAAACATTTTGTAAAGAAACAAGAGACCAATTGTTTTGGTTAAATATTTAAATGAATTAAAAGTTAGCTTCTAACTATAATCAAAAAAGGTACAAGGATATAAGACTATATCTTTATCTTTCATTGCTATGTGTTTATTAATATCAATTATAATGAATATTTTAAATCGCCAATTTATATTCCATACTAAATTGACTTGCCTAAAAGCTGAAGTTGAAGGACTGTAGAGTTCCAAATGAACCTCTTATTGTGCCAATTCCATATATATATACACATATGTATATATATTATCCAATATATAATATTGGATATATCCAATATATAATATATATATTATATATTCCAATATATTATATATTCCAACTCTATATATTATAGAGTTCCAAATGAAGAACCTCTTATTGTGCCAATTCCATATATGTATACATATATATATGTATATATGTATAATATCATAGCATATGTATGGTGTGTGTGTGTATGTATATATGTATGGTGCGTGTGTATGTATGTATAGAGACAGTCTATATATGTCTCTATTCTCCACATAAAAACTAAATACATGTAAGAATCCCATCTTTCTTTGCAATGTATTATATAAACTTTGCTGAATATAATTTGACATTTTCAAATAATAAGAAAACAAACTCAGTAAGAGATTAATTTGCCCATAGCCCCTTTTCATCTTCATGCAATAAGATTGAAGAACAGTTTGCCTGTATTTCTATACTTTACTGAACTCATATGTGTCTGTGGCCAAAGAAGACCATCCAATACGTAAAGATGTAGCTACATAGATTTATATCATGCTTCATTTAAAAAGAAAAAAAATAGGTTAAATTTTAGTTCTCTTTGTTAAGACTGATTTCTACCAAACAAGTTCTTGTCAATATTCCTAGTTTGCCCTGTTTCAAGTAAGCCTGTGGGGCTTTGCCCAGTGATATATGACAGATGGCCATCACATAAACTGCAATTAAAGTTTAAATTTGTCCCAGGCAAAGATAACTATGATGCTAAGGTTAAATAAATGCAATTATGTCTCACCTAATTAGACTTATACTCACGTGTACAGTGGAGGGGCTCAATGTTCTTTCACAAAAAAAGAAAGCTCTATTTTCAGAAGTTCATCAGGCAGGAATGAGTACTCGCTGTGTGTTTGCTTATAATACATCACTTGTTTAGCTATATATATTATAAAAATAAGTTTGTGACACAATCAAGGCAGAAGAGCAAACAAGGAAATATGGACGTTAGAATTTAGCCAGGCCTGGGCTGAGACCATGACATGCCTGCTCCAGAATGTCACATATTTACTAGAGGATTGTGCTGGCGTCCTGTGTGGGTGCTGTGGCTTCCACTGCAGAGCGAGGAGTTGCTT